TTTATATTCAAGTTAGTATAGACATGTAAGTTATGAATATTTACTTATTTGACTTTTAAATTTGGAACCCTAATTTGGACTACACAGAAAATTCTCTTATATATATATATCATACAATTTAAATTCGGACATTTCATAATAAAGTAGAGTCGCAGAATTTATAAACATAAAATCGAACATTTATTAATATCAATACATTTCCTACAACATATAAAAATCAGTGACCGGAGCACAACCAGGTAATCATTCATCTGCCTCCAGCGGTTCCTCTCGACGACAATATGGGTCATCCTCGGGTTCTTCACCGGCTTCACCCGCCACCCGCCGCTGGCAACACCCGCCGTCGACAGCCTCCGCCCCCGGCGCCTCGTAAATGACCTCTTCTCCGACGCCAACGACGATGATGATGTTCGTCGAATTTGTGGGCATTTGTCCATCGTGATGTGAGTTGGGATTCGTTTATGGATCGAGCTCTCCTTGTCCATGGCTAGGATAGGGTTTCTCTTTTCTAAAGTAAATTCATATTTAAAGTTGATTGTATATCATAGTTTAAACTTTAAATAAATAAGATTCGTATTTGAGGAGATAAGTGTGTATCATAGTTTAAATAAATAATTTTCACAGAATTGATCTTGCGGGATTGTTGGGACTAAAGCAGAATAATAACATAAAATGAAACATTTATTAACATATTTTATGGAAATAAAATCGGAACTAATCATAATATTTGAAATCATTGTGAATAATAATAATAATTCTGTTTTGAATCAATTTTTTTTCCTTCTAAACCATGCAACTAATAATGGTAATAGCCGCAATGTTTGCCCAAAATGATTTTGTACATTAATTGCATTGATTTTTTAATTTGAATTTCAAATGATTGGCCGTCGTTTTTTAATTTTTTTTCTTTTTTATTGGATAATATAAACAACAAAATACAATAAAAATAGATAAATGAGACAAATTAAACATAAGGTCATCCATATATATATGATTCATTGACTAAGCACCTCTTCATTCAATCCTCCCTATATATAATTCCAGAATGCGCTGAGCCTACGTGGCTGCTTCTGGTGCTTCAAAATCTTACTTGGCGAAGAATCATGCTTCGTAATTAGGTTTGGACAAATAATATTGATATATTAATAATTAATAATCTATCGGACATTCCATAAATATTATTTATCTAACTTAGGTATTTTAATATCACTTGTACTAATATAATCCTTTAATTATTTGTAATTTTACACAGTGAGTCACTAAGTGACTAATATATCACTGACTTTGATTTGTTTCCTTCAATTAGCTATTGAATTGTAGATGTATTTTAAAAGTTGATAACTTTTGTATTTCTTGTCGATTTTACATATATTGTATATCAAATTAATCATTTTTTGATGGTCTTCGATCTGACATCCATATTGTATATATGAAATAAATAAATTATATTTATCTTTATAATAATAAAAAATAATAATATTTATTAAAATTAATTAGAAAAATAAAATTATTTATCAATTGATATATTTATTTTTAATGTAGTTATATATTGTAAGTTAAAAAATTATTATAATATAACACAAGTAAGTCGCACAAATAAAAAGTGTCATACTAAATATAATATATATATATATATATATATATTTGTAAAAGGTATTTAAATTTTCAACTACATTTTCTCATTAATTTTAGATTTTAAGAAAAAAATTAGCAAGCACCCGTGTAATACACGGGTGTTGTACTACTCATACACTCTTAGCGATTAATGATCACTAAATTGACCCACTAAAATATATAAATATGACAATCTCCAAAAAAAAAATTAATAATAATAATATTAATAATAATAATAAAATAAATAAATATTTTAGTAACCAAAAATCAAAGATGTAGTTTCAAATTTCAATATTGTGCAGCTATTAATTTGGGCCCACACAACAGGGCGATTTGAATGGACAACAAAATCACAAAATTATACGTGTATTTTGGATAGTGAGTGAAGAGTGAAACAAAGGAAATGTAGAATAAAGAGCAACGGTAGATGCATGTTCACTTGTATTTGTATTTGCTTCATTATTTTACATCCACTATATAATTTTTTAATGTGTTAGACATCCAAATTTTGTGGGGCAAATTTTTATATTTTCATTTCATTTTATTAGATTTTAATTTACTTTCAATTAGTAGTTATGAGGTTTAAAATACTCATGAATATATGGGATATTTATTAATATCATTTTTATTAACATTACTTATATTATAATATTATTTTCTAATCAGTTTATCAGGTATAATTTTTTTTTGTTTTCAATATATCCTTTTCAAGTATAATAAATGTATAAATAAAAAAAAAATCACTAATGTTCAGTGTTCATCTTTAATTCACCAACGTTACCATTCTTTATATGAGTGCCATATTGTGACTTATATACAGTCCACAGTCCACAGTCCACAGTCCACTGGAAGCATAAGATGGAATATTAGACCATATAATAAAATTTTAATTTTCATTATATATTTTATTGTCATTTGAAATAACATCGAGTTTGTATATATTTATCATATAATTGGACCCGATTTGAATGGACAACAAAGTGGCAAAATTGAAACGTGTATTTTGGATAGTGAGTGAGAGGAGATATTCTTACCATTTGATTGATTTTCTTACATTTGATTTTTAATTTTAGATAAAAATACTTTTTTTTGTCAATATTATATATATACATACTAAATTTAAATCATACAATTAATAAAAGTAAGAGCCATAATATTTGACCAAATTGATTCTGTACAGATATTAAATTGACTTTTTAATTTGAATTTTAAACTACTAACCGCCACTTTTCAAAATTTTTCCAAAAAATTACTAAGAAAGGTAAAAATGAATTATTTAGCGGGAATTCAGTTACTATTTTAGGTAAATATCAAACCTTTTTATATGTATATAGATACGACTTTGATTTGAAACTCTATGGTGCGAGAAATATATGTTATCCACATCAAATAATAGTGTCGTGTTCGAAAACAAACCTTTCTAGAGACGTTGATTTCATTTTCGTTTTTGTCCATATTTACTCTTATTTTCCTCGACTTCTTTAAATGTATACGATTTTGCTTCGAAACGCGATGGTGCGAGAAATATATGTTAATCACATCAAATAATGGTGGCGTGTTCGAAAACAAGCCTTTCCGGAGATGTTGATTATTTTTTCGTTTTTGCCCCTATTTACACTTATTTTCCTCGACTTCTTTAAATGTATACAATTTTGTTACGAAATTCAATGGTACGAGAAAAATATGTTATTCATATAAAATAATGGTGTCGTGTTCGAAAACAAGCCTTTCCGGAGACGTTGATTATTTTTTTTCATTTTTGTCCCTATTTACTCTTATTTTCCTCGACTTCTTAAAATATACACGATTTTGCTACGGAACGCGATAGTGCGAGAAATATATGTTATTCACATCAAATAACGGTNTCGAAAACAAGCCTTTCCGGAGATGTTGATTATTTTTTCATTTTTGCTCCCAATACTCTTATTTTCCTCGACTTCTTTAAATGTATACAATTTTGTTACGAAAAGCGATGGCTCGAGAAATATATGTTATTCACATCAAATAATGGTGTCGTCTTCGATAACAAGCCTTTATGGAGACGTTGATTATTTTTTCGTTTTTGCCCATTTTTACTCTTATTTTCCT